CTTGTGAAGTGAAAACAAGTGTTATTATTTGACAGAATAATTTCATTTTGAGTCAGATTTAAAGTGTTTTTGTAAAGTTAGTGCAGAGAAAGATGTGTTCTATTTTGAAATGAAGAGTTAGTATATATTTAACAAAATGTATTTTTGAGAAGAAAATTATCCATTTGGCCAATTGTGTTTTGTAGGTGTGAGTCTGTGTTAAGAGTTTAGAAAAAGTGTCTGAAGTATGGGTAAGCGCTTGTTAGCGATTGAAAAAAACTGTAACTGAACTGTTTTCTTTGTTAATGTTTTTAGTTCACGTTGTCCTTAACCACATGCGCGTGTTCCTATGTGTGTGTGTGTGTGTGTGTGTTTCAGTTAGCCCCCAACCACTTGCAACTATAAAATGAGAAAAAAAAGAAAAAAAACGAAACTTCGCAATGCCAATTCTGCAGGAATTCAATTTACCACAGAACTCCAAATTAAACTTCAGTGAGGCAGTTACATTTTACAAGATCGTGTTGCTTGTTTGCCAGTCTGCTGATGCAGAGAATCTTACAGTCAGCAGCTAGTAACTGCACAGTGATTTTATTGTGAGCACAGTGGACTAAAATTGAATTAGAAACACTCTGTTTGCATATGTTTTAACAGCTACGTAAAAGAGAGGTGTTCAAACCAGGAAAAAAAAACTCTGGTGTTCAGCTGAAAGCCTGTCGTACATTATCCAATATTGCGATGCATTAAGTAATCATATTTTCAAGCCTTTCAGCCCTAAATTCCAAACATTTTTAACGTCAAGCTCATGTGCAACAAAGGACACGCTGTGTATTTAATACCCACGATTTTCAGTAGGTATTCAAATATAGCACAGCTTCTAGTCAAATTTGTTGTTTGCTTATATCCAAAAGCTACAAATATTGCAGGCAAAATGAATTATTAATACGGCAGTATTACCCTGTGCCAGGTGAACCCCCGCCTCGTGCCCTGTGCTGCCCGGGACAGGCTCCAGGCTCACTGTGACCATGTAGTGGAAAAGCAGCTGTAATATGGATGAATTATTAATGAGGCTTGGAAGAATAGAAAAGTAGTAAAAAAGACACACTTTATTGTATGAACCGGAAATCGCTAAGGTGCGTGGCTTTGGGGAGTTATGACACTGTGTCTGTATCGGAAGGTTTCTGCTTCAAATCCCGTGGTGGACAGAGCGGTGGACTGAGTGAAACTATGAGTCAATGCTGACAAAAGCTTTGAGGTGAAGACTCAGCGGAGAATGTTGAATATGACGATGCTAGTCAAAAAAGCCCCATCTATTCCCTTCAAAGGTTTAGTCGAAATTACAACAGTGAGAGGCTATTCATGTAGAAAAATGAGAACTGTATGGTTAATAAAACACATGGTTAATGATACTGGGGATGTCACAGTGGGTGGCACTATGGCTTCGAACCCACCAGTGTGTCTCCTACCGTGCAAGCACACCATAACCCAGTGGCAGACGAGCGGTTATGGAGGATGGATGGATGAAAGTTGTATGCCTGTATTGAGTTACTATATGAAAACAAAGGAATCAATGTCACTTTATTTACTTTTGCCAGAATTTGGAAGATGTTTTCCATTTTCATTCATAAGACTCAACCTGATTCAATTCTTTCCTAAGGAAGCTAACATGTGCAGCCTTAATACAAAAGGAACAGGCGATGTTGGCTCTGATAAGTACCCCGTCAGCAGCCAGTTACAGACACCAGGCCACGAATGAAACCTTGCTGGATAGAAATGTATGTACAATAATTAGATTGCTTTAATGAAGCAGTGTATAAAATGTAAAGGATAAAGGAACAGTGAACATGGGTTTGAAATCAACAGAAGAGTGTTTTGATAAAGTAACTGTTTATGCAGGGCTACTGTCAATTGTAACTAACCAAAACATAAGAAACTCTCCAGTATGTCCAGCAAGGCACACCATTGTAATACACACCCCAGAGGCACACAATATTATTTATGCTATGCCACTGTGACAGCACCTTGGGATCCCCCTAAAACCTATGCACCGTATCCCTTGGTTATGGTTCCCTTCTCCCCACAAACACAGGCACACATATTTCAAACAGGATTACACGTTGTAAAGAGATCATACTGCCAGCCCCCTCGGAAGGAGAGAGAGGACCACACTTTGGAAACACACTATCACAGCTTGGCCCTGCCACTGCTGTTTTTGTTTCCACCGAATGGTCTGCATTAAATGAAATCTGAGCTGGTGAGAAACAAACGGCCCATCGCGTCAACATTTCGCCTTCCTAACACCTTCTCGGAGAAAAACAATGCCGCGGAATGCTTATTAGTCTGCTTAAAAAAGTGTCACCGAAACATTTAAATGACACACTCAGGCATGGCTGCCGGGTGGGGCTGGACTGAAAACGAATCCGCAATCCTTCGACAGCAGGATACGTGTTTAAAAAAAGCAAATTACGGTTGGCTCTGGCCTACGGTCACCCTGCCTGCCGGTTTTATTTCAACACCACCAGTAGGAGGCCAATGTGTCGAAACTTATGGAGAGAAAAGAAGGAACGTGACATTTTCAGGCGATGTCAACCCTAGCTGCTGGTTTCTGTGATGCTCTACCCCGGGGCTCTGCCTCCCGTCACCATTAAACAACGCTTTTATCATTGTAAACAAGCTGTCAAAGAACATTCACAGACAAAAAAACAAGGACACGGGGGATAGTATCCCCACTTGCAATGATGTTTCTGCTTGATATACTATGTTCGGCTAGACCACTATTGTAGACTGGGAAATGCGGTTAATTAATTCTGTTAGGTGGTTAATCAGTGTATTTCTGACAAGTTTTGTGCATTGCATCATTTACCTTCGTCAGTCATACAATATACGTCTTATGGAAATTCCTTCAAGCTTACATTAGCACTGTCTCACCTGTCAACGGGGACATTGCTGTCAAAAGTAAAAAAAAAAAATTGACCAAATTCAAGGACTAGGTGTCCCGGACATCATTAGTATCAGTTTCAAACACTATATAGTACTAATAAACAAATAGTGACTCATGGGCAATCTATTAAAGCCCATGATATAGTGTTGATTTCAATTCGTATGACTGGGCATGCGCGAAGACGCCAGCAACGGAGGATGTCTCGGTACGTATGACGTAAATGATGTGCGTGCCGTGCGTCCTCCCCCTCCCTTTCCGTGGAGAGAGATGGGAGTCTGTGGCGAACGCCCAATTTGACAGAGGCGAAAGGCAGGCATCGGATGAGCGCTCCCCGCCGGCCCTAGCCGCCAGTACCGCATAGAGAGGGCAGCGGGATACCGGGAGAGAGCCAGGACGCGGTGAGTGCTGAGTCTTGGAGCCGGAGAGGGGCTCCAGGCGCAGGAAGAACGGTTTTTCTGCGACCGTGGTGAACGGGGTAACGGACTGCGGCCGCCCCTGGACGCTGGACTGCTGATCCGAACCGCCGGTCTGTGGTTCTGTTCGGCGTCAGCTTGTCTGCCGAGTGGTTTACCTTCAGACTTGCGACCGGGGCGGAAAGATGGCGGACGTATTGCAGGGGGACGCCGCGGCGCTTTCAGTGCCTTTGTCTGTCGGTTCCGAATGGCTCGGATACGCAGGAGAGGGGGCGCCGACGCGGCTTGCCCCGAGTGCCCCGCTGTCAGCCCGCCAGGTGTGCACCTGGTCCTCCGCGTTGCATCCAGGAGGTGACTCGCTCCCTTTTCCTGCTCACCACTGAGGCTTATCCTGCTGTCTGGTTCACTGTCATGGAGCGTGGGCTTGGGTCCCGGGCTGCAGCTCTTGGTCTGCGGAGTTTGCTGCATTAAGCACCCGGTATTTCTGTATTAATGTCCCCTGACAGCCACGCTGCATGTGCAAATCTCTTTGGTGGCTGGGGATCCCCTGCACCAGGTCACAGGTGACCTGCCGGCTTTTGACGGGCGGCTTCCCCTGTTTTGCTTGGAAATCAGTGCAGATTCGTTCTAGTAAATCGCAGTCTCCACAGAAGCTCGGGTGCCGTAAAATATCCAGAAAGCTCTGGTGGTTTCTGCACCGTAAGGCTTAAAACCGAGACTTAACAGTTGCTGTGTTTGGTAAAAAAGTGTCAGACATCCCCCCCCCACAGACACACCGCTTTCGGGTTACACCCAAGCCATCAGTTGTAGGAAGAAAAGAAGCACAGGGAGGAAATGAGTCACAGGTAGTCCTCTCTCCTCCAGCACGGCTTCTTTAAAAGTTTCAGCTCCCCGACGTTTTCGCTGTCAGCTTGCAGGGAGAGGGCCGGCTTGCTGTCCCCCCCCCGGCGGCTCGTCAGTGCCCGCCCTACGCGATGGGAGGCTCCGAACTCGGCTAAGCTTTCAGGTGACTCGTCTGTCAGGAATGCGAGTAAATCCCAAAAAGAGGCGCGTGCGGCGGCGGCAGCCTCGAGTGCGATCTCTCCCTGCAGTCTCGGGAGCGCGAGCGCAGTCGGGTGCAGGCACGTGTGGCTCTTTGCCGTCGTTTGGCACGAGGATCTATCTGTATCTGAGTTGCAATCCCGGGGCCCTCCCTCTACCCCGTGATGCGTGTATTACCAAAGCACCACCGACAGGGCGCAGAAGTAGATCAGCCAGGCAGCAAGGCGGTCACTGACCTTTGCTTACGGTGAGATGTTTGTGTTCTGCTTGTGGTGTCTGGCTGCCTTCTGTATGCATGATTCAAGGTGTAAGGCTGTTTGAAAGCGCTGCTGATGTCACGCTTATGATAGGTAACGCCATCCACTGGCGTATTTCCATGTGTTGTTGTAGTCACCATACAAATCGGTTGGAAACGGGCAGATGCCAGGATCTGTGTTTTTCCACATAAGTGTGCCAAACTGGAGGGGGAGGAGGGGGTAGGTTTCTGGTCACACCTCATGTCAGGAGCTGCCAGTCTGGGGCCAGTGGTGCTGCTTTTTTCAAGGGGAAGTCATAAAAAGATGCTTTTGTCACCCTTGTCTTCCCCCTAGCTGTAAATTGCCCTCCCATTTTATCATAGTGTTGCCCTCCACCGATCCATACACCAGGTCCCTCTCAGAACCTCTGGGTTGTCATGGTGTATTAGTGTAATGGTTGTATATTAATGGTCAGCGTTTAAATATGCAGGGTCACTCTGATGGCTTAATTTTGAAACTCCAAGTCCTTTCAGACGCAGTGATCCCAGCATCTCACGGAAGAGTGTGAAAGGTAACCAGAAGGCTTATTTTGGCCCAGAAAGGTGCCCAGGCAGCTCCGGTAACAGGGGAATACTCAGAGGTCATGGGATACGATCTGGGACGGCATGTTCCAGCCGCTCGTCCTCACCAGTTGGCGTCCACTTTGCGGCTGTCGTCAGTGGCAACGGGGTAGCAGATATTTTAACTCCCTGAATCCAACCTGAGGCCAAGGTTAACGTTCCTGGTTATCCGCTGGCTTGTGTGGCAGGATCCCTGTGGAGTTGGAAAGAGCTCTCTGTATTCTTTTGCTTGTTATTTATGCCTTTTTTCCATGTCTGCGAGACATTGTTGTCGTGTTGAGTATGAGGTCAACCGTCATCAGCCAGGTGTCATATTTTTACTATGTCCGGCTCGTTGTTACAGTATGCGGTGGCAGATTGGATCGTTCGTGGTGCCCTTCTTTACTCCTGAGGTCTAACCTGTATCTGCAGGTCAGAGCTGATCGGGTTCTGAGTAGCAGGCAAGCATAATTGTCAAACACCGCATGGTGCAGCTATCTTCTAGAGAGTGGTGATTTTCTGCTACACAGGGGTGACTCGTCCCACCTCGTGTGTGCTGTCAGCACTAATGCAAGACTGGTGCTGTAAATGCCGGCCCAACAGCGGTTCTGGAAAGCCTTGTGAATGACCCTGTCCCGAGGTAGGGCTCCAGCGTCGAGTGGGCTTACCACCAGTGCGGTCGGAACCCTAACACCTGCTGTGAGTCCCAGGTCAGTCAGTGTAGGCCGGTCCAGCTCCGGTGGGTCCTTTCTGCACGGCACAGCTCTTGGTTTGCTGGAGATAACACACGGTGTCGGTGATGTGCTCACTGTGTGCCGTGAAACCTGGCAGTTACACGCCCCCCCCGTGAGAACTGGACTCCTGCCTGGACGCCGGGCATGACCAAGACGTTCTCTGGTTACAGATACCTATGGTTATACTCTGCCCTGGTTAGTGGTGAGCGTGTAGCCTCGCACGTATGCTAGGGTGTCTCTGCTGTTTACTGGCCTGTTTGTGTGCGTGGAAGGAAGTTCTGTAACTCGTGCAAGTTCTTTGGCACACAAGAGGAAGATGATTTCTAAGTGTTAATAATAGGTGCCTGCAGGAAAAAAATAAAATAAAATTAGCCCATTAGCTAAATCGTTTTTTTTTTTTGGTTTGATACTAAATGAAGAAAATTTCAAGTGATCATCTTGAGTGGTTTTTGAGATTATTGGTGTACCACCTGATCCGATGATTGGGAACTTTTATTTTCACTGCCTTTGGAAAAACTTAACTTCTGAAGGGGATTTCTTTGCAGATTTCTATGCAGAAATCGAGGGTGACGTTGGCTGATATTTTAGCTGAGGAATGTTGAAATATCCTTGTGCTTCAATGGATAATTTCAGTGCAATTTTTGAAGAAATAACAAGCTGTCAATTTGTAAAAAAAATAAAAATAATTAAATAAAGTGTGACAGAATCAGAATCATTTGAATTCGAAGTATTTTGAGCCGGTGTTTACACTTTCCTCCAGTCAATGCGTTTACCTGCTAGTGTCTATAGTTAGAAGGAAAAAAATCTATTTACGTTGACTGTTACTTTGTGACCTCACAGGAAGCATGGGAACAGCTTAAAGCACCTTCTCCTGGACTTTAATGTTCTTTGATTTATCTCACTGCCTTTGCCTCTGTTTGTGTCAATGCTGTGACACGTGCACACAGTCTCTCTGTAAAAAGGGCACAGCTGTGTATCTGTGGTTTATCTGCACTCCTCGTGTCTCACGGCTCTTCGTTGCGTCTCACTTCTTCCTGTCTTGCACCCATGGTTTCCTGTCACAGAGGCGCCATGGGCCACAGCGCCGCGTGAGGAATCCGAGGGCTTCGGGGGACTCCAAGCTGGTGAGCGATCAGAGGGGCGGGGCCAGAAGCGGAGGGGTGATCGGGGTGGTGGGTGGGGCTTCACTATGCTGGGTTTGAGCAGGACTGAGCATGATGGGGTGAGATGACCTTGTCTCAGCGAGCACTTAGCCTCCGTCATCTCAGGGACTCATTATCGCCTGAGTCCCTGAGGTTCTTTATTACATCTGAGTGCACAGGCCTTGTTTCCTGTTTGGCTCACGTTAATGTGTGCGTTTCAGGCTACCACCGTGCCGTGACATGGCCTCAGCCCCGCTCACATCAGACTGCAGCAATAACCATGCAGAGACCTTGCAGCTGCATGCCACCGGTGAGAACTGCAGCGTCTGTGGAGGGCAGGGGGTGGGTGTGACAGCCTGCCCTTACAACAGCAACGATGTTAGGGGTGACTGAAGGTTACTGAAGGTCGCGGTGGGCGGCCAGCATGAGTGATGTGATTTCTAAAGACTGTGGAGCCGTTCTCTTCGATTTTAAAAGCAAAAAAACCTTTGTCTAGTTATGACCTGCAGGGGGACTCGTAATTTTGGTCCTTTTATGCAAGTGCTGGCCTTGATTAGAGACCACAGTCAATGTACAGTTGTGTGAAAGATATGTTGTGAATGTATAACTTTGTGCTCATTTTTTGGCCCTAATTGTTACCCACCCTCTCCTTAACTCCCTCCCAAGTGTCCTGTGCCAGGCTCAAGCGCAAGAAGAACTGGTTTGTGGGGACGGCCATCTATGTGGAGCTTGAGGCGAGTGGGGAGATTTGGAGGACGGCCAAGTCGCACAGCTCCTCTAGCCCCAAGTGGGAGGAGCGGCTCACAGTGTAAGCACTCCCTCCCACGCCGGCCTGTCCGCCATCTCCTTTTTGGTTTGCTTAAGAGTCTTGACTCCAGCTTGTCTTTGGACCACATGTGGCGGTAAATGCCTGTTGAAGTCTGTTTCCCATATGTTGGATCAGTTGTTGATTTTCGTCCGGCCAATAGAGGGCAGAAGGGAGTGCTGGCTGACTGGCAAATGGTGTGATGCCCCGATGGGATGATTTTTGTTTGACTCCTTCCGTGGACAGGAACGTGACGTCGAGCAGCCAGCTGGACTTCCGGGTGTGGAGTCACCACGCCCTGAAGGCCGACTCTCTGCTGGGTAAAGCGGGACTGGACGTGCGGAGGGTCCTGGAGCAGCATGGCCGCAAAGGTAGGCCCCGCCCTAGCAACACCCAACCACGCCCCCTCATTTACATATTCCCATATATGGTGTTGTGCGGTGTTTCCGGGGATTACTTTAATTAGGATGTTGTGTCCTCTAGATATAATTTTTTTAAATTACTTGTAAGATCTTTCTGCTTCTCTTTTCTGCTCCCTCCCTTTAATTTAACCTGCCCCCCCCCCCCCCCCAAGTGGAGAATGTGAAGGAGGTACTGAAGCTGACCCTGGAGAGTAAGGGGGGCCAGAGCACTGTTGGGGAGCTGACGGTCATCCTGGACGCCCCTGCAGTGGGCCGGGAGATACTCCCCAACAGAACCAACTCAGCCCCCAGTGAGTGTTCCTTTCCCCCCCCCAATTTACCACAACATGGTGCCTCATTAAAGCTTTTCATATGCTTGCCACATGTAAAGACAAGCCAATTATGTGACGTATTGGTCTCAGAACTCGCACACATGAAAACTACACACGTGTGTATCCATGAACAGAAAACCCATCCTCGTGTCTGGACAGCACTCGCTCGCTCGAAAGGTTGCGTTTTGAGACTCTGGAGGCTGGAACAGTGACTGATTTCTCCACTTCGTTGATTGGTCACTTTTTGAATCCTGTGATTGGCTGTTTGCTTTGGAAGATGATGATGAACAGCCAGTTTCATGCTCTGTCATGATGTCGGAGCAAGGCAGTCTTACACTAAGTTGTCATCTGTCAGAGATCCTATTTTGATGTTGCACATCCGAGTTGGTAATAATTGAGGTGGTTCCACCTACAGAAGTCCAGCAGAATGGAGGTGCTGTCCGGGACAATGGGGACGACACCCCAGCGAGGTCTCAGTCTGGGTAAGTAGGACAGTTCTCCCCCCCCAGCCTGATCATTCAGTCATGTTGGCTGGTATAGGGAAAGCGAGGGCCGAGACTAAGCAGGGGAGTGTGGATAAAGGGCAGATGTGCTAAACATGCAGTTTGCGGTCCTCAGCAGCCTCTCTCTCACCAGGTCCCAGGGCTCTGGCTCTGGCTCTGGTTCTGGTTCTGCGTCCGGTTCTGCTTCCGGTTCTGACAGCATTGACGGTCCGGGTGCGTCCGCCTCGCCTGTCATCAATGGAGACGCAGCCTCCTCTTCCCCCACCCCCAGGGCAGCTGAGGCCCAGCAAGATCCCTCCCCCGGGCCGACAGACGGTCAGGTCACAAACGGCGTCGGTAAGGAGAGCGGTCATTTTCTGGTCGTGACCATGAAGCATGACCATGCTGATGAACTGGACGGTGTACAAGTTGTACTGGTACAAACTGATAGTGTGGTTGTGATGGTACTACAGAGGGGACAGTGCTTTATATTTTAATTATATAGCCCTGTACCTTAAATCACCAATTTACTAACTGGATTGGCATGCCGTTGTCAGTTTTCCCATGATGCATAGCTGAGGCTCTGAACCAGTCCCCGCTGAAGTATCTGCTTTCCCTGTCCCCCTGTGCAGTTAATGGGGAAACTGTCAACTCCGCTGTGGAAGAGATGCTGCCCCCTGCTGGCAGCTCTGGGGATGGCGTCGGCGGCGCCCCTTCGGACTCCGGGTCTGCTCTGGCCGCTTCAGCACTCACGGTGTCAGATGGCCCCTCTGGCAATCCCGCCTCTTCCTCCTCCCCTTCCTCCTCCTCTGTGACTGCCTCTGCTGCAGGGAACAAGGCCGGTGGCAAAAGTGCATCAGAAGCAAAACCCAATCATGGGAATACTGGGAATGCCGATCACCTGCCCGCAGGGTAAGAGCTGGAGCCCCCCCCCCCCCCCCTCACTGTCTGCTGTTCCCAGGCTCATCCTGCCACCACCCCTTACCCATCCGATGTCTCCAGCCCCTCTCCTCATTTTCAGAGGTGGCTTCTAAATGTCTTTCTTTGGCCATGCAGGTGGGAGCAGAGGAAAGACGTGCACGGCAGGACCTACTACGTGGATCACAACACCAGAACCACAACGTGGGAGAGACCCCAACCCCTACCATCTGGGTGAGTGCTGTGCCACGCTCCAACACATCCTGCCTTGATTCACGCATTTGTCTGACCTCTGAAACATGATTGATTGGATGGGTGTGATGTCACCTCAGGTGGGAGCGCCGCGTGGACGACCGGGGCCGGATCTACTACGTGGACCACAACACCCGGACCACCACTTGGCAGAGGCCCACCATGGAGTCGGTCCGCAACTTCGAACAGTGGCAGTCCCAGCGGAGCCAGTTACAGGGAGCTATGCACCAGTTCAACCAGCGATACCTCTACTCGGTAACGCAGGCTCGTCAAGTCAGTGACAGTGCGGTCGGTCCTCAGCCAGTCACGTAACAGCATGGCTTCATTCTGATTGGCTAGTCGTCTGCAGTCTTAAATGATAACTGATAGTGGATAGTGTGGTTAAAGATTAGGGGTTTAGGGTGGTGTTGCCTGTTCCCTCTTGATATGGCCTGCGGGGGGGTTGAGTTTAGTTGTTTAGTGTGTTTGTTCAGCTCATCAAATTGGACCCCCCTGAGTGATTAGGTGTATCTAATCAGGCCCTGGCCAAAACCCTGTCACTCCTGTAATTGATTAACACCCCCCCAGTCCTTTTTAAGCTCCTGCCAGTCTGTGAGGTCCATCCTCTTCCCATGTATCCAGTCGCCGCTTTCCTCAGAGTTTTCTCCTGGGGTGTTTGGCCCTTCCAGGTCATGGACTGTGTCTTCTCCCTCTTCTCGCAGGCTTCCATGATGTCGGCGGAGAACGACCCCTTAGGCCCTCTGCCTCCCGGTTGGGGTGAGTCTGCCCGGGGCCTGCGGGCTGGGATGTGCCGATAGCGGACCTGTCCGCCAGTGTCGCCATCAGGGATTTATGTCGCTTCCGCGGTTATCGCCGAACAGTCAGTTCTGCTCACTTACACTCTCTGACCATAGTGTACTGAGCCTGTCATGTGACAGTGCCCACCCGTGCCCTTGTCATCGGGCTTTTTGTGGATGTCACATGTGTCCTAAAACCTGTAACACTGAGGTTCAGTGGTACAAGCCCCAGCATTGTTCTCAAGTGCAGGTTAAAGGCTATTTGTGTCAAAACTTCTTGGGGAAATATCTAGAAATACCCTGGCTGCTTTTCCACCTGGCCATTCCTGCGGCCTCTGAACTGTCATCCGATTACTCTGTATTTGTGTGTGTCTGCATGTGCGCACTTGTGCTTTTATTGTGTGTTTGTGTGTGTGTGTGTTTCAGGGTTGTTAATGAAAGCTAAAAATACTTTTGTAAAAAAAGATGCAAAAAAAAGCACAACTAAATAAAAATAATCATAATAAAATATTTTGTTACTGCATTTAGATACCATTTTTATAAAGTAATGATTTTTTAATGTAAATTTATATTGTCCAATATATTGCCCTTGAAAAATACCTGGAATATATTTTCCCCTTTTTGAAGACAACGGTACATAATAAACACTGTATTCATGTAGGATTCTCTAAAGAAAAAGCTACATAACTTTCAGTCTACCCCATAACTAAAAATAAACTGGATTTCAATAATAATAAATAAATACTGAATAAAAAAATCAAAGCTGTACTAAGACTGGGGTGTGTCCCTCCACCCCCACAGAGCGGCGCGTGGACTCTAATGACCGTGTGTACTTTGTCAACCACAACACCAAGACCACTCAGTGGGAGGACCCGCGTACACAAGGGTAAGCTCCCCTATCTCACTAAGAATAAACTTGGCATGCTTATGAACTACATATCCCA